TAATTGAACTATAGCTGGAAGTGCCTGAGAAAAATAGGAAAAAAACATAAATTTTTTTAAATTAATGTTTTTTGTTTTTTTTTTGAAGGAAATACATACAGCACTCATATTATCTTGACATTGAAGAATTATTACTTCGATTAATTTAGCTGCATGAGCTTCTGAATCTTCACCTAAATCATTGACAATTACCTATATCGAAAAGAAATTTTAAAAAATTAAATATTATTAGAATAAATCAATGCAACAAAATGAATAAAACTCTTGAAGAGATAATGATTTCACTGAAAAAATTTGTACGTTTGGACATAATAGAACATCCAGCATGTGATGGTAAATTCCTATTTCCAGGAAATTTAATCGAATGCTTTTAAGAATAATCATAGAAAACTCTTCTAATTAAAAGAAGAATATAGAAATGAAGTTGAAGTCTAAGTTAGAATTGGATTGGGTCAAGTATATTCTTACTTGGGCCAACCTAATCCGAAATCAAACCATATATTATGTATATACTAGCGAGAGTCCGTGCATACTGCACGGACGCTTTTTTCCTGGAAAGTTTCACATCTGTTCTTTAGCCTTGATTCGGTAGTAGAGAATCAGACAACTCGTACTACATATATCGAGAGACCGTATAGCATTATACTTGAAGTCTTACACCCTTGTAGCCTTATACTCTTGTGGTATTATCTCTTATAACTTTATTCCGTTATTCCTTTATCCCTTATATTCTATGCAGCCTCATCTACTTATTCGTTATATCCTTATCTCCTTATACTCTTTTAGTTTTATCCCTTATGTCCCTGTAACCTTAGCCTCTTATCCCTTTACCCTTATTCTCTATCCCTTATAGCCCTTAAAGACCTATGGGTACCCTCATATAACAGCTCTTGAGGGCCTATGAGTATCTTCATATAATAGTCCTTAACGACCTATGGGTATCTCAATATGGCAGCACTTATAGTCTTCCTCGTATAGCCTTATTTGACCTTTGACCTGGTCACAAAGACGTCAGACAGACAGTGAACATTATATATATATATAGATAAAAATGCGTACCGTGATTCAGTAAAAATATAAATAATAGACATCTTTTATATATACGTTTTTTTATGAAGTAGTATTAGAACAGTTATATATATATAACAATATAAAATATACCTCTATATATGAAAATTAGCATTGGATATTGTCACATTAATACCGCTCGTTGCAATCTCCTGCAGTTTAGATGTAGTTAATTTTGAATTTCCTGGAAATCAGAATTTACCATGCTCTCGGTCCCACCTACAGTAGCTTGTATGGAAAATTGCAGAAGTTTTGAACGTAGTATCACCGAGATATTCATATTTCAAAATATAGGCTCTTCTCCATAGACATTGTACAAAGCATGAATACATTGATATGCATATCTTAGCGATAATACATCCGAAGCTTCTGAAATTTTTCATACAATCCACTCTAGTTGGAATCTTGATATGAGCAAAGTTTCAGGTCAAAATTCGAGAAGATGATTTTATTAGAAAATCAGAGGCCTACAGGTATATTTCTATAAAATCTCTTTATCTCAGCTAAATCAAGAATTGTGCA